TGCACTCATAACATAAGTGTCCGTGACAATGGGGGTGGATTGTCCTTGTTGGCAGACAAAGGGACCCGATGATGATGGCGTTTTGTTACTTTGTTACCTTCTTTTGTCGCAAGGCAGCTTTTTTAGTATGAAATGAGGCGAACAGAAAAACACGTCGCCATTGAAGATCACCCAAAACGCGTACGGACCAGGAAGCATGAACAGCGATAATCTGCAGCAGTGGTGGGAAAACCCGATCCGGTGCCATCACCCGGAGCTCAGTTTTAGTAAAAGTTATAGCCTAGACTCCACAGAGCTTCAGTTCACCCTTCAGGAGCCCAATAAACTTCCCAAGGACTACGACTACGGAAACTTAAGCCTGGACAATCCGTACGACTTAGACTCGGAATCCCGGTAATTATCGATTATGCAAATCTTATTTAGCCCGCTCCCATACTATCTGCAACCTCTTCTCTAAAGCCCCTCCTTGCTGCCACTGCTGCTGATGGCAGTCAGCTACGGCATGGTGATCTTCGGCGGCGTTTTGGGGAACTCTACTCTGGTGCTGACTCTCTGCTCCGCCTGCTCGGTGCGCCAGCGCAACCCCCTTCTACTGGCCGTCTGTATTGCCGACCTGATGGTCACTGGCATATCCGCCCCGATCACATTCATCAATCTCGCGATGATTCGCCGGACGCGATCGCTGCCACTTGTTCTGTGCAAGTTCATACAGTACATACAGGTAAGTGACAAGGCTTCTTTGATCATGTGTGCAATGACATTTTTATACCCGTTACTCGTAGAGTAAAAGGGTATACTAGATTCGTCGGAAAGTATGTAACAGGCAGAAGGAAGCGTTTCCGACCCCTTAAAGTATATATATTCTTGATCAGGATCACTAGCCGAGTCGATCTAGCCATGTCCGTCTGTCCGTCTGTCCGTCTGTCCGTCTGACCGTCTGTCCGTCTGTCCGTCTGTCCGTCTGTCTGTCCGGATGAACGCTGAGATCTCGGAAACTATGAGAGCTAGGCTATTGAGATTTGGCGTACAGATTCCTGAGCTTCTTACGCAGCGCAAGTTTGTTTCAGTAGACTGCCACGCCCACTCTAACGCCCACAAACCGCCCAAAACTGTAACTCCTACAGTTTTGATGCTAGATAGAAAATTTTAACTGAAATGTATTGTTCTCATCAATACCTATCGATTGACCTAAAAAAAAGTTTGTGACGCCCACAATTTGCATGCTAGATAAAAAATTTTAACTGATATGTATTGGTGTCAATACCTATCGATTGATCCAAAAATAAATTTGCCACGCCCACTCTAACGCCCATAAAGCTTAAATCTGTCTACCGCCGGTAGGTGGCGCATTCTCCATTTCCCTTTGAGTAACGGGTATCTGATAGTCGAGGTACTCGACTATAGCGTTCTTCCTTGTTAAGGGTTAATTTTATTTAATTTATTTTGTTTAATTAACTAATTAAATAATTTTGTATTCCAAAGACTTATAAATCTAAATCTGAACTATGCGCATTGGGCCTGCCAATCCGATTTGTACCCATACCTTTTGCAATATTTTTCTTGAAAGGGTATATTGCATTTATCGGAAAGTATGTTCCAGGTAGATCCTGAGTTTCCGACGTATAAAGTATATATAAACCGTAACTCATAGATTAAAAGGGTATACAAGATTCGTGGGAATGTATGTAACAGGTAGAACTATGCTTTTCCGACCCGATAAAGTATGTATATTCTTGATTAGGATCACTATCAGAGTTGATCTAGCCGTGTCCAACTGTCTGTCCGTTCGTATGAACGCTAAGATCTTGGAAACAATAAAAGCTAGAAAGTTTGGAATTGGAATGTAGATTCTGGAGCCTCTTACGCAGCGCAAGTTTGATTCAGCAGGGTGACACGCCCCCTCTAAAGCCCACAATGCTCAAACCCGTCTAGCACCCACATTTCTTAATATTTTTGAATAATTTAAATGAGGTTTTGACCTTATTATTGTAAGGTAGTTTTTCTGTTGGTCAAGATATAAATAGACAAAAGTAGACAACATGATTTGGCCCATTGATTTTGGGATGAAAATGTTACTGTTAAGCCAGAATTTTAAAACCTCACCAGTTGGTGGGTTTGTGGAGCCGAGAGATCAGACTCTGGGTCCCGACCAGAAGTCTAATTGTGAAGGGGATTTTAGCTAATCTGCCAGCTGACCGACAAAGACGTAAATTTTCATGTGTAGTTCATTTTAAACTTCTCATAAAACCATTTTATGTTAGTGTTAATGTGCCAAACCCCCAGAGGGTGGCACCCAACCAATTATTATACATAAATTCAGTCCGCCATTAGTCAGGCTTGGGCGAATAATCTTGAATTAAGTAAGGCTTTTTTACCAATTTTAAATTTTACCTTTATATGTTGTCTAGTATATATTATATGTTGTCGTTGGTCGGCAAACCGCGTCAGAATAGGAATATAAGATAAGCAAAGCCGAGGATGAAAAATTTAAAACAATCTTCATTATTAAAAGCAATCGAATTACTCGCCGCATGCAGTAGAGGCAGCAGCAGTTTAGTTCAAGTAGATGTACGAGACTTAATTTGAAAAGCATTGCACTAAGAGAGTAGGGCATTCGTCTGTATTATCCAAATTAAATAGACCAATTTTGTTTCCCCATTTTCCATTCCTTTCCCCTTTAAGCACTTTGCCTCAGCCTTGTTCGTAGCTGCCAGTTTTCGGCGAAAGCTAGGCAAGTAGGGAGAACAAATGAGTTTGCGGCTTTAGATCGCGTGAGAGAGACGAGCGATCGCTAAAATGAGTTTTGTTATATTTAGTTTCAGTTTATTAATATAAGTATAAGCCAATCCAGTCCTTTTGCTCCTAATAAACTTGGTTAGAAATAAATTATGAGAGATTTTTGGATAAATGTATGTTTAAAAATAAATTTTACAATTTACACTAACTCTCTGTAGTTGTCTAAAGGGAAGCCATGCGTCGTCGACTGTTATTTGTTAAGTAATATGTAGTAAGTAGCCTTTTAGGGATCACCATAACTGTTAATTGCCCTTGGTGATCATGGTGGGCGAAAACAGCATAACAGGTGTTGTTCGTACCCAAAGGTGCTCAACATGACCACACCCAACAAATCAAGCAGTAGCCAAGTTGGGAACAGTACCAGGCGCTCAGTAGCACCCAATGCATATGAGAATTGCTGATCAGCATATTATATGTCTCACTAACTCACCGTCTCACCGACTGAACGGCACACTGACCCGCCAATGCAGTCAGCACATTTTGCAGTGTCAGCCAACTACGCAAAGCCAACTACGCAAACGGCTACCATAATCATAATTCCCTGACCTTCTTTAGAATATAGCTCACTTCACTAATCATTACACTAAACTTCCGTGTTCCAAGTAGTATATAAACATGTTCCAAATGAAGAATAAAAGAGTTATCAACACATCTCTTAACTCCGCGGTTCTACTTCCTACATCTGGGAATAGGGCTCGTAATACACTATCTCATCTAGCAGCTAACCACGTTAGCTCTACCTCAGCGCAGTTCCGCATCGCCTGTGGTCCGGCATCACAGTAACCATCGTTACCATTGCCGCGACGCGATCGTCCTGCCAGCAAAGCGTCCCCGTGCCAGCGACAAGTGCTCATTACCTCTTGCCCCACGGTGTGACCCGGAAGTGTCTACTTCGGTTAGGCACAAATATTGGTGACCCCGACGTGATCCTTTAACAACAAAGGATCACACTCAAGCAACCCCCTTCCCACTAAAGGACTCACAGCTTTATCCAGCTTCACAGGATACGCTTCTTCTTCCAGCGTCACAGGAACTTCAGCTTCATCCAGCTTCACAGGATACGCTTCTTCTTCCAGCGTCACAGGAACTTCAGCTTAATCCAGCTTCACAGAATACGCTTCTTCTTCCAGCGTCACAGGAACTCAGCTTAATCCAGCTTCACAGGATTCTTTGTTTCCAGGACACACAATATGTCTACTTCATTCATAGAGGAAACAAGTCACACAAGAATCGATTTACACAATCGATTACTAGACACCCAAAACGAGCTGCAAGGGAAAATCCAACAGCTCATTAAGAATTATGGCAAGGATTCTGCCGACCGACGCCACCGAGACGGCTACTATTCCGGTAAGCTAAATCAGTTAAACGATCTCTGGCAGCAGTTTTGCGACCTAGATGAAGAAGTCCAACAAGCGGCATTACCCACTGGAAGCGAGTACTCTTCACGACTAGTAGCACTTAAGGAGCTGGTCGAAAAATATCAGAATATCTTTCTGGACAACATGCCGACTGAAAGCGGGCTTCCGAAGGCCCCGAGACGAACGTCGGCCAACATCAAGATCACAACAAGAGATCAAGTCAAAGGGGATCACAGGTGAATCTTATCTCAAGGAGAATGGCAGATCCGCTATCTCTTAAGGAAAGGTCACCGATTGAAATATCTGGAATCGGAAGAAAGATATCAACAGCAATTAGACCAGGGTTTGAAAAACTATTAGAGATATTTATTATGCCCACAGTCATTACAGACCAACCGTCAGTACCGATTACAACCGATCTTAATATTCCCGAGGGACTGCCGTTTGCAGATCCTGACTTTCGGCAACTAGGACCCATTGACCTAACTTAAGGGGTTGAAGTATTTTCTCGTGTAATTACCGGTGAACGTCTTGAACTAGGACCTAATAAACCTATGGCACAAGGCACAAGGCTTGGTTATGTAATCACAGGTTATATCAATAAAGAAACCTCATCTGATACGGAAATCAACCCTAATCTAACAGAAAACAGAGATGATCTTGCAGGACCGAATGCTGCTTATGCGCCAAGGAAAGGATTCAGTTAACGAACTTAGCATTTATGGATCATAAAATAAGGGAACCTGAAGTTAGATGTACCCAATCAAGAACCAGCGACACTGACTCGTCCGATCGAGGATCAACCGCTGTACATAATATTTAATTGCAGCACTTTATACTACAAAAGAAAAACCAATTGATAGAGAACCGACTTCTCATCAACTTAAAACAAATAAGAAGCCTGATTTTTATTCAACATTTCTAAATTTAAACAAGAAATACCTAAGTGTTGTTGCAGAAAGTCCACATACCACAGACGTGCCAAATAATCAAGTTCTACGAGGGCACAGTTTCAGGCCCCACGGTAATGTCAATTTTATCGCAACGGGGAGTGTTAAGCACCATCAAAAGGTATGAGTGACCTGAATCACAAACATAAACCGCCGCAGTTGAAGGAAGGATCCACCTCCGTCAATGATTTGTTAGGTGTTTCCTATACAATTCGGCCAAGGGCTGACCGACATCACGACTTAATTGAGGGTACCCCTCAATGGGGGGAGAACGTTCGTACCCAAAAGTGCTCAACATGACCACACCCAACAAATCAAGCAGTAGCCAAGTTGGGAACAGTACCAGGCGCTCAGTAGCACCCACTGCATATGAGAATTGCTGATCAGCATATTATATGTCTCACTAACTCACCGTCTCACCGACTGAACGGCACACTGACCCGCCAATGCAGTCAGCACAACTACGCAAACGGCTACCATAATCATAATTCCCTGACCTACTTTAGAATATAGCTCACTTCACTAATCATTACACTAAACTTCCGTGTTCCAAGTAGTATATAAACATGTTCCAAATGAAGAATAAAACAGTTATCAACACATCTCTTAACTCC